GGTAGAATATATGACTAAAAACATGTCAAAAGATAGATTAAAACATATAGTTTCAAGCAGTGTAAATAAAGTATGAGCCGCATAACCATGTGAGGAGAGTGCCAATGACTTCTGAGAGAATTACTTGGAAAGTTAGGAAGAAAAGTTATTTTAGCAGAAAGACTGGGATTGTCCGGTAGGAAATGCCAGATGAATGATCTAGATAGATAATACAGCATGTGTAGAGTCCAATGGATGAAATTTAAAGCTAGTCTTGGGGAGGCATGTTACTCAGCGTTGCCTGCACCTCTGGAAACAGAAGCAGCAAACACTCAGCAGAGTGTATGCAGTTCTCTGCTTTTTGGAGGGTGGGGTTCTTTTTGCCAGGGCCTGGCTCCAGTATACTGGGTGCAAGCAGCTCCAAGATGTGTGCAGAGCTTCCTGCAGAGATTAAGGAGTGGGGATTGGGAAACTGCTACAGTGCACAGAGCTGTGACTGACAGAACATTTTCACAATTGATTGCCAAACTCTTCCCCAGGAGGTTTCAAGACTTCAATAGACTTCAGATTTCCAGCATGGTTACATCGGGCTGACTTTACCAATGTAATTGTTGCCTCAGTGAAGAGATGGGTTCCTGTTCTTTCCGGCACTGCCATCTTTCCAAAATCCTGCAATTCAATACCAGTGTGATTTTGATAGGTTATGCCAGATTCTCCAGCAGAGGTTTTGTAACACTCATTTACCAATGCCAGAAATGTGTGAAGTTGTGTGTTTTCTCACAGACTCACAAATAGAGTATGGTTCCCAGCATAGAACATTGCTAATCTAACAGTAAGAAGTGGAATTTTAGTGTAGTTTTAACTTGAATGTTTTATGTATAAATGTGAAGACCTTGGTTTATGGTTAAGACTCTTTTGCGTTTCTCTTCCTGTGAACTCTGTTCATTCTCTAGCACAAACCTGTTTTAAATGTATTGTTGATCGGTTTCTCAGCTAATTCTTTTCTGCTTTGTACATGTGTTAGGGATATGAACCTTTGTCTATGATGTTAATTGCAAGTATTTCTCCTAGTTTTTCACCTGTAATTTAATTTTGTTTACTGTGTCTTATCATGTAATTTTGTAATGACATTGAATTTATCCCTTTTCACTTTTTTTTATTTTGAGCTATAGTTAGAAAAGATATACTCTCACATGAGAATAGAATTCATCCCTATTTCATCTATTACTAACATTTATACTATTATTCATTGTACATAAATATCTTCTCCATTTGGAATTTGGCATAGTTGTATGAAGAATAGAAGCCATTTCATTATTTTCTGTTTATCTCTCCTGATAGGTAAATGCTCTTATTCAAAATTTCTTCTTACTATTTTGAGTTGACTCTATTATCATATGCTAATTTTTCACACACACAATATTGATTAATTCTGAACTTTTAAGTCTATTTCATTGCTATAATATTTTTTTTCTGTTTTGTTTTGGTTGTTGTTCATTTGTTCTTTGCTCATACAGCCAGAGGAATTTCTTTCCTTATCTCAAAGTTAAAGCAAATGAATAGTAGCAATTAACTAATTTTGAGCATGTTTGGATTCTGCAAACTGTGTCTGAATGCATGTTTTATGTTACATTGTTTCTTTGACTTGGAACAAGTTATTTAATACCTCAAAGGTCCCAAATCCCTCTGTAAATGGGAATAATTTAAAGTTTTTTAGAAACTTTATATTTATTGATTTTCAGGGAGAGAAAGGGAGAGAGAGAAACATCAGTATGTTGTTCCACTTATTTATACATTCATTGGTTGATTCTCATATGTGTCTTGAGCAGATATTGAACCCAGAAAACTTGGCGAATCAAGTGGATTCTCTAATCGACTGAGTTACCTGGCCAGGACCAGAGAGTTTTTGATGATTTCTTATATAGAACATATAGCACAGAGTAGGCTTCAATAATTAGGAACAAAGTAATTTTATTCTTGTGCTTATTGTTTGACCAAATGCATAGACTCTATAGTTACATGATTCGATGTTTATATTTTCTTCATGTTGGAAAAAATTACTGTAAATATTGTTCAATATACAAAGGCAGATGATACAATTTAAGGGAGTTTCTGCAGGAAGAAATATGTTAACTAACTAAAAGTTTACACTAAAGAAATACTAAGAGTGTCATGAAAATATTTTATGTAGTATTTGGAATATTTTTATTTAATGTAAGTGATGTAGTTAGTTTGATATTTGTCTTAGAAAAAAATATTTGCCTAGCTGGAACAGAATATTCTCATTTTAATTTCCAGGCATCTTGATATTTGGAACAAATTCATAGCCATTATTTATTTCAAGATATGTTGAAAGACCATGAAGAAAATAATTAAGATTTATGCACTATTAAAATAACTTCTAGAGTTTAAAATTTACTTTCTCAACACTTAATATCTCTTCCTATGTGATGAAGTTTGAAATAATTAAAGGGCTCTTTTAATAAAAGATATTTGGAAAATCATCCAAACATAACATATTTTCCATCCTCTTACTTATAAACTAATTAAGTATATACCACGTTTGCATCTAATTTCCCTAGACTGCATAATTTTGAAATTGAATATATTAATGAAATTGAGATTTTGTTCCTCAGTTAATGAAGGGAAATAGATATAGCAGATATGCATATTACTCACTGTTCTCTTAGATGCCGAAATCTCAATGTTTTCCAGGAACTCCTGAGGATTACCCACGGTTTTTCCATATGCATCCTAGGACTGCAGAACTTAGTCTCCTGGAGCCAGTAAACAGAGATTTTTACCAGAAATTTGATTTGGTTATTAAGGTAAATTAAACTAATTTCTTATTTTTGTGTGTGTGTGTTTATAAAGTGCTAATCAAAGGAAGTTGTGGAGGCTACTGTAGGCTCTTTAATATTTAAAAAAAATCAAAGTTAATTTAAATAGCAATTAGCCTATTTTTATTTAAAAAGTAAAGCGTAGCAGTTTGAATACATTATTGCTTTTATTTAAAATAACTATTTTACAATGTGATTCTAATACTGAATATTTTTATATGTATTAAATGCCCTGGTCAAATGTATATAATTGGACATTCTACACTTTATAACATTTTCTAACACTTAATTTTTTACTAAAAGGATTTAATTTTATTCATAAAAACTTAACCAATGAATATGCTTAAAATGCAGTTATATTTTTATTTTAATAACTTCATTTTAATGTTTCTCTAACAGAAAAGATCTCACTTGTCTAGAAGTGAATCTAATATATGTCTCATTTTTAAAAATGTTGATAGATGATCCTAGACTGAAAACATTTTTAAAGCTTGGGAAATCCATTGGACATTCCAATTTTGGTATAGTAATATCTAATTTCATAATAATAAAATCATTTGAAAGGTATTGTGGAAACCCAAATGATTTGTTGATGAATTCTGATAGACTTCATTAAGAAGGTAAGATTTGTGCTGGTCAGTAAAAGAAGAGTAGAAATTTATCAAGTAGAAATGAGGGCTGGGAGCAGAATGAAATGGTAAGTCTACTATGTTATATAACTTTTTCATATCTACATATATAAAAGCTATAGAAATGCAGTCTTATAGAATTTTTAAAATTTAAAATTGGTAAAGGAAAAGGAAGTGAGGTAAGGATGCTTACTAAATGTGGACATTGTACAAGGTGTTTTATGCACATTTTTCATTGAATTATAACCATAACTGTAGTAGTATGCTAATTAGTACAAATGTAGAAACTAAAGTCCGGAGAGGGTAAGTGATTGGCATAGAGTTACATCAATAATAGGCAGCAGAACTGAGATTGAAAATTAGGTTTATCTAGTTTTTTTTACATCCTTAAGGTGCAGTTGCTTAGAAATAGTTGTCCAGCTTAATTGTCAGTGAAACTACAAACAATAATATGCAGAAATTCATTTAATTTCACATCTAATTAAGGCATACTTTTTAGGACCCAGTTATATTATTATGCATGCCAGATCCTTATTTATGTTGTGGTCCCTTGTCCTTAAAAATACATAGTCTAGAATGGAAAGAGTCATATAAGCCAATGAATCAAATGCAACAAACACAGCAACTGCTAACAGGAAGAAACACGGGTGCTGATGAAATGCAGAATAGGTATGTTTAAATTAACCTGAGGACTTGGAAGATTTGCTGGAGATTACTCCAAGCTAAATTTTGCTGTATTGGAAGGGTTTGTCCAATGAATAAAAATGGAAAATAGGTTTGGACCTCAGGGAAAGCAGAAGTACGCGTGTGGAGGCATGATACAGCAGGCTGCAAGCAGTTAACGGGGAAGTGAGGTATGGAGCCAGACCACGGAGCGAGACTGCTGTGCCACAGAAATTTCCTTGGATTTCATTCCGTTGGGTCTTGGGAGTCATTTAACAAAGACTTCTTTTACCTTTTGTGTGTAATAGTCATGCATGAGGTTCATTTTCTTGCATTGACTACATTATTTTTTTTATCATAGGACCCTATAAAACTCAAAATGTGTATCCCTTGTCTGCTGTCTGTCTACCGGGAGCCCTGCTGGGCTGCTTCCTGGGGGAATTAAGAAACTTGACAAAGCACTGTTTCCAAACTACCTCATATGAAACCTGAAATTAATTATTTTTCTCCATTATCGAAGTCAGTGATCTTAGTTTAGCCAGTTACATTAAAACCCAGTCCATCAATTATAGAAACAAACCTCAATTAGAATAAAATGCAGGTATTTTTAATTTTATATTAATACCTTGTATTTTAATGGGTTTTTTTACAGACATTATTAATTAAAATAACTGTGTTTTGTGTGCAACCAAGAGGATAATAAGCAAAGGTATCAGTCTGTAAGAACAATGACGTGCCCCCTGCTTGAATAATAGCTGAATATTGTGGTTTTGCATAGAGGTCCACTGAATTGCTACAATATGGGAGAGTTCTCTCCTGTAGTAAGACTTTTACTTTCTTCCTTTTTCCTTATTTTAATAATGCTTCATTTTTTATTGACCACGAAAGTTTTTATTAGATTTGATCCCAACTTCTGTATCAGAAGCTAAAGTATAATAAAATAAAATGAAGTATCTTTTCCTAAGCTTTGAAGAAGAATTCCGCTTCAAAAAGCTGTATTTTCATTTAACCGCTGGTGATGGTGATGAATTAGCGATTTAGCATCTTCACTTTATCGCTTTCCGCCAGTGATTTATTCAGTGTTCTAACAAAGTGTAAAGGTGAAACTGGAAGGATACGATGGAGTAGTCCTCTACCCTTAGAATATGAAAGGAGTAAAGCATGTCAGTTAAAAGAGGAAAAGATGCTCTGGATCAAATCATTATTCCAAATTTTACACAATAATAATCTTTTAATCATACTTTAAGATAAAATACATATTTTAAATAAGAATATTATATTTAGTTTGCCCCATTCAGTTTATATGTATGCCTTTTGTCCTTGTATATTTTATTCATAATACCTCTTTCACTCTCAAAATGCCCTAGTTTGGATAAAATATTATGTGCTCACCATAGTTATAAAACAAAAAACATCTATGATATAGAAATATGAAACCACATTTTAGATTCTAGATGATAATGAGTTAGTTCACGCATGGAGTGTCAATAACAAAGCCTGGAAAATTCACATTCATTATTATAAGTGTACCATTTTTAAAACATGTTATTAGTTGGTATTTTAATACTCTAAGCATCTAATAGAAAGATTAAATGGATAAATTATTAATAATTCACTGTCAATTGCTCAAACATAATTGTGTTTTTTATGTGTATCTGATAAAGAACTAGTAACAAGGGTCCCGATAGTATCACAAACATCATTGTATCATGGTCTCTCTGATTTGTGTGTTGTTACTCATTGACCTACTCATACTGTCTATTTGGCTACCCTTGAACTTCTTTTCCTTCCACATCATGGGCGTGCTAATCATAAGCTCTCATCAGTCACCCTGCAGGCTTTCTGTTCCAGCTGTATGAGACCACTTGCAGTGCCCTAAACTCATCATGCTTTTTCTAGGCTCCAGGCATGTACAGATGCTATCCCTCTTCCTGAATCATTTCTCCCTGTAACAGCACTAATTCACGCTGATGTTTTGTTGATGCTGTAGGTGCTAGAATGGCACTTCCTCTGGAAAGGCACAGCCATTGGTTAGAAGCCCCTCTTTGTATTTCTGCATGTCCCTGTTGTGGCTCTGGTCACTCTATGTTGAATTTACTCTTTTATTTTCTTCTGACTTTTGTAGGAGGGCAGATTGTAATATATTTCTTTACCTTGTGGCCTAACCCCTACCCTTATGCATGTACAGTGCATAGAAAATGCTCAAATATTTGTTGTAATTGGTTTCTTCCTGGTACGGTAAATCTTTTAAGGCTGCTGGAATCGAGTACCTACAACTTCATCATATTTAAATACACATTAAGACACAGCTTATGGCCATTTATGAGTGTATGTTAAAATCTTTCTCCAAAGATTAAATACATTTTTGACACAAAAAATGAGCCACAGAATTGAAACTGGTAAGCTTAAATGGCAGTGCAGACACGCCAGTCCTGGCAAGTCTCTTTGCTTCAGTAATTCAGGTGTCTGAGGACAGCGGCACTTGAGGATGAGTGAGGCCTGGGAGAATGAGCTACTGTAACCACACATGTGAATCTCAGATGCCACAGTGCAAGAAAATGTTTAGCTTCTCTTTGAATAATGATCTCAATTAAACTTTACGCCATGAGAATTCAATGGAAAACTTTTTAAAACGAATGGCATTTTCTAGTTTCCAATTTGCCAAAATCTTTCTGATGGCTTATTAGGTGCCTGACATTTTGCTTGGTGTTAAGAAGACATAAATGTATGAAAGCTCTGCCCTCAAGGGAATCACAAATATGGAAATTTTGCTTCCAGACTTACTTTTCTTCTGATGTCTACATCCATACTTCCAGTCATGGGCTGTAAACCTACTTCTACTATTGTACAATTGTGTAAAGTTAAGAATGTAGTAAACTGTACAGATCCTTTTAAAACCTCTTCCTTTCTATTGATAATATAATAACCAGCCACTCACCCAAGTCTGGAACTCCCAGTTCCTCTTAGGACTTTACTTGCTCCCATATGTCCCCATCCAGTCATTTTTCAAATCCTAATTCCTCTGGAATTTACTCTTGAATGTCTTCCCAATTCTCCAGGCTCATGCAGTTCTCAAGTTCCAACCCTCATAGCCCATCATTTCACACACATCTCTCAAACCTTAGCCTCTTTTCCTTGCATCCTGACTCTCCCCACGTTACCAGTAGAGGATTGCTAAAACAAGAAAACAAAAATAGGCCATGCTGTTCCATATTGCCTTCAAGTTAGCTGACAATGTGCCCCCTTCATGAATTTCCAACAGAGAACGTTGTTGATTGAAAGATCACAGGTGTCAGGGACAGACAGACACAATAGCAAGTCACAGATCATCAGTCATCGCTTCTAAAATAGAAAGGATAATATCCCCATGAAAATGAAAGATCAAAAGTCACTAACTCTGTTAAGGAGATCGTGAGGTATAAGCTACTATTCTTTCTGTTGTCATGTGAGTATTAATAGTTTATCAAAAAAGATAAATAAAATAGAGAAAAGAAAAGCCTGGAATAGTCCTTTGGGAAAAGATTGAATAGGAGCCTTCAGTGAATTATGGTTAGGAGAAGAAAAAATATCAGAGCTGAAGTTTTCTAGCCACAGAAAGCAAGCCAAATGCTATGGATGGCACACTTTCATAACCCTGGAACTGTGCTAACTATAGACTCTTCTCCAAATTCTTATGGATTTCTATTGAATGAATGAAGTACTCATGTGCCTTACATCCCAGTTCAGCAGGTCAGTAAAGGTAAGCTCAGTAGCAAAAATCTTCCTCTGCTCCAGTAGCAAAATCTGTAAGGTGAGGAAGAGAGAAATTCCTTTAACACATGTTAGAGAATATTATCCCACAGAAATGACAGGCATTATTTCTTACTGGTACTGAACTAAAAATACTTCTGTGTATTTCCGAATGAATCACACTTTTGGAAATCCATTGACATATTTGATACATTTGCTAAATGTTCATCTTTTATTTTAATTTTATGCTCTATTTTTTTAAAAATGTCAAATTGCCACATAAAACACTATCTTTTCCTCCCAAAGAACATTATATTTTTTATTTCATCCTGATTGTCCACTAAAAATTCTAACTACAAGGTTGAATTAGTTGCCTATGATGCCAATTATGGAAATTAATAAAAGGAAAGAATGTTTAGTGTTCTCTTGTCTCATGCAGTTATTCATCCAGCTGGGTTAGTCAGGACAGAAATAGAATATAGCCATTGAATACAGTGGATGTCCAAATTTGCAAGCTGACAAAAGACACACAGAGGTGATATTTTACTTGACCTCTTTCTTTCCACACAAGGTGACTGCAATTACTTGGAAGAAGAAAAGCACTTTATCCATTCTTGTCACAGTACCTTGATTCTGGTAACACCCTCTTGTCTGCAAAGGTCATTGTCAGAGTACAGCTGCAAGTACAGTACAATGTTCAAATGAAAGTCACTTTCTGAGCAGCCCTTACCCTATCTTCCCACGACACACCCCTTCACACACATAAACTATCTTAGCCCTCCTACAAGGTCGTTGCCAAGTAATCTTTCTTTATAAGCTTCTGGGTTGTCGCATATAATACTAAAAATAAAAGGATATATCTAAACACTTGAGAGCTAAATAGGGCTAATCATTATTATTTTTCTCAGGAACAGCCTGGTACATAGTGGTAACAAACTCTCACTAACTGCCAGTCTCTGACAAGTAACCCACTTAAAATCTATTTTTATATGATGGTTTATTGAAATTAAAGTGTTCTAGGTTGGAGTATTCCCACTGGCCAATTCACATAAGGTACTTGAATGGGTTTCCTCCTAAATTGAGAAAATACTGGGGAAATGTGATCAACCCAGTGTTGTCCTTTGCTGAATGGGGAGGCAAAGAACAGGGCAAAATAAGGGGGATAAAACATGATTAAGATGTTATTCATTTTTAGAGAGAGGGGAATGGAGGGAGAAAGGGAAGAAGAGAAACACTTATTGGCTTCCTCTTGTTCACCACCAGCTGGGCCCACAACCTAGACATGTGTCCTGACTGGGAATCAAACTGGTGACCTTTGGGTTTGTGGGACAATGCACAACCCACTGAGCCACACCCAAAAACATGATTAAAATCATTCCATAAAAAAATGACTACTTCATCATTATCATAATTTTGTCTCTGGCTTGCCTTACCATTTATAATCAAGATGATTCCCATGTTTAGAACATGAGCTAAATAGTCTGATGTGTTTGTGACTAGACAGAGTTTTTTGAATTTGTGATCTTCCCTAAGTGATTGAGTTTTTCTTTTTTAAATCATTCAAAATTGCATCAGTCATTGTAATGCCAGGTCCTGCCTCAAACTCTAAGTAAAGAAAACTATTTTTATTATTAAAAGGTATATTCATGTTTTCATTTCAATAAATTATAAATGGAGTGGACATATTCTTACTTCAAGTAAAAATAAAATATACTTCACTTTATTAAAAATATTATCTAGGTGAAAAGTATGTCAATATTATTTTATTATCATATCATAAGTGCTTTTTGGGGAATTCGTTCTCTATATCTGCCTAGTAAAAATGATTTTTCTTTTTTGTCAAACAAATCTATTCCTTTCCTACCAAGAATATATTCTATTGCTATATTTATTTATGACATTACAAACACTTCAGTTGTATTATATTCAAAATAGTTTGTTTTATTTTATCTGATAAATTATTGGATGTTTTTGTGTTTTCTAAGTTCTCATATTTTAGAAACTTTCATAAATAACCTTGTTGTCCCACTCTGTATGCATTCTTGAATTTTTAGAGTTAAAGTGTAAATAAAGGAAGTTCCTGTTCATCTTAGGGAAATATAATTTTATTAAGAAAGGTCAAGAAGCAATGAGCACACTAACTTTTAATTGCTAATTAATTGGTAATAGTAATATGATCTTTGACCCAGGAAAACACACTTCCCACAGCCTTTCTTCCTAAGATATTCCTAGAGAAAAACGATGATTATAGAAAAGAAAGGAACTGTTTCCAGTTATTAGACTTTTGACCCCCAAATATTTGCAGAGCTTAGTGAACTAAGCAGGATCATACCCAGAAATCTTTCATGTGAGGTTCCTACACTTTCATTCCAACTTTTAGGTCCCGCTGAAATTTGAGACTTTGCCTAAAGGTAAAAAGCAGTAACAATCATTTGTATTCAAGGCTAGGGCAGAGTTGGTCTAGGCAGCTCAACCTAGGCTATTTTTAGTATAACGACTTCCTTCGGCCTGAATGAGAGATGCCAAAAGCCAGACCCAACTGATGCAGTAATGACCATTGATTTGGACAAATTGGGGTCATGTGAAGTGCTTGCTTTTGAAAAGCAGTTTGCACAGTCCCCACTGAATCAAGATGCCCACCTGTGTTTCAGGGCACCAAACTGTGAGCTAATCTATGTAAAAAATCATTTGGGAACCTGATCAGGCAGGATAAAATTTAAATAATTAAGGAAATTGACGAATAAACAAATACTCAACAGAAAGCTTGCTTGAACGCTAACTAGTGTGGCTCAGTGGATTGGGCATGGTCCTGTAAGCAGAAGGGTCACTGGTTCAATTTCTGGTCAGGGCACATGCCTGGGTTTTGGGCCAGGTCTCCCATTGGATGTGTGTGAGAGGCAACCACATGATGTTTCTCTTGCACACATATGTTTCTCTGCCTCTCTTTCTTCCTTCCTTCCTTCCTATCTCTCTAAAATTAAATTCATAAAATATTTTAAAACATTTTTTAAAATGTTTTTTAAAACATTTTTAAAACAATTTTTTAAATTATGTTTTCACATTTAGAGAAGCAAAATAGCATAGGGGCTAAGAATGTGAACTTTTAGAGACAGACACCTGGTTAACACCTCTGAAAAACCTAAAATAGGACAAACCATGTAGTAGTAAACCAAAAATATTGGTCATATTAACAACAAACTAATGTTCAGAGAGAACTTTCACATGGTATTATTAAAAGTGCAGGGATTCGATTGTTTCCATAGGACTAATTCCATTTTATTTCTCTTTTCCGTGGATCACTTTGTTTTCACCATGCACCTAACATATTTGTCCTGGCTTCACAGTTGGCGGTAAAAATTAAAAATATAAGAGCTGAATGTAAAATATGAACTTCTTTTGTTGTTATAGAATGTTTTCTGTTTTCCCCTCACCATTTATAAACTGTATTTGTATGTGTGGGTTGGTGGAAGGAGACAAGTTACAAATTTCGTTACTTTTCATAGCATTATTAGTATGTCCAGAATGTGAAATAATACCTTTTATACAAGATACAAAATAAAGGAAGAAAACTCATGTTCAGAATGACCTCTGTGTATGAACTGCTCCTGCTTTAATCAGATCAAGGGCATTGCGTTGGAACTTCATATGGGCCAAATGATGGCTTTACATTCCCTGGAAAAATGATGTTTACCAATCATAGACTCTAACTCTTGTCCTGTAAAGCAGCTACATCCCAAACCCTTTTGTGTATCACAGAGGGAACTCCTAGAAGAACATCCATGGCTTCAGCACACATTAATCACAGCCATGGATATAGAAAGAACTTACCCATATGAAGGATGTCAGGAGCACATACGGTTATGTGTGAAGAAAATGCATAATTCTAGAAAAGGCTACACATTATTTCAGTATGCTTGTACTTAGTGCAGAGCTCATAAACGTTTGGTACATTGGCTGCATCACCTTCATAATCTGCTGCAAAGTGGAATTTAAATGAATAAAGTAAACTATAAAATCTTACAATGGGAAACTAATATACTGAAATAGAGTTACCAAAATACTAAAAAACAAAGATTAGTTTTTTATCAATGCTTTATATAACATTATCTCACAAAGGATTTATTAATTAGTGTAATTTCAAGTTAGTGATTTGCACAAATAGTATTTCAAAATATCTTCAATGTTAACAATAATATGAAGTAAAAATACATATTGTGATTTTCCTTTGTACATTGTCACCAGTACCTTTGCAAACGTCACTGTGATCTGTCACCTACCCTCTTAATTGGTGAAAATGCTAAATTATAGTGAGAGGAAAATGCAAAATTACATTCTAGAGACATAGTTCTTGCCACTGGATTGAATAATAAGAGATATCTATCTGAACCAGCTATAAACTTCCATGACCAAAATGTCAATATGCCATTGAGGAAAGCTCTTCAGGATTTAATATGGAGCATTTAACATTCACATTGAGTTAACTTCAAATTACAGCTACCATAAAATGGGGAAAGTATCAATAAAAATTTATGACAGTACATTTGTATACTACTGAATTATGTCAATGATTTCTTCTCAAGTTTGAAGTCAGTTGTGATGAATACTTCCCTTAAATACATTTTTTTAAGAAACAGAAAATCACACATTGGTGTTTCTGCATTTACAACATGACCCTATGGAGATATCTTAAGAAAATTAATTGGAACTAAAAATTGTAATCATTGTTTTAAAACTAAACAAAATAACCAAGAAAATAAACACAATTCTAATACATTTTAACTTAACTTGAACAACATATTTTTTGTTAAATGTATTTGAAATTCTATAGATACTAAAAAATATTTCATTGAAATTATATCTGTTCCTTAATGTGATGCTTTCAAGAACTCCTAAAATATAGCCTAAGTCTATTAATTTTATATACAATAATGAATTATTTGGGGACTTAATCATTAGTGTGGCATGAGAAGAGATGAAAGAGACAAAAATAAGTTTAATGCTTTAGTTGAGTGATGACTCTTTTCTATTATTTAACTGTTTTATTAGCAATTCACTCAAATATATTCCCTTATCAATTTTCTGTCTAACTTATTTAAGCAGTTAGCTCTTCAAAAATATGTAGTGAGGACTATAATAATTTACTGCAGTTATTTTTGTTACTGTTCTTTTAAATTATACACTGACTTTGAATGCAGGACACCAAAAAAAATCAGTGAAACCATTTTCTTGTTTATGTTTTCTAAACCCCTCTAGTGTTAAAGCGTTACTTCTTGCTATAATGATATCAGTTCGAAAGTGATTCTGTATAGATAGTATCAAAAGTGACGCTCAGAAAGATCCCAAAATGTAGACTTTTTATACCTTTTTACATTTTTTTCTAGGCTGAACAGGACAATGGCCACCCTCTCCCTGCCTTTGCCAGTCTCCATATTGAAATACTGGATGAAAACAACCAGGCCCCCTATTTCACAATGCCCAGCTACCAAGGCTATATCCTGGAATCGGCCCCGGTGGGGGCAACCATTTCTGAAAGTGTCAATTTGACCACCCCTCTAAGAATTGTGGTTCTGGACAAGGACATAGAAGATGTAAGTTAAATGTAAATTTTGTCATTTTATTAACACATCTCTTGTTATACTTATGTCAATAGCAAACATTACAAAACCACGGTTACATGAACTATAGGATA